TTATTATTATTATTATTATTATTATTATTATTATGTGGGCAAGTTGTCTTGTTTCTTTCCCAGACCTTTGTTACAGAGAACATTGCTATACAGCGACAAATTTTTTACCGCTATTTATCCTGGCGGTTGATCGAGTTTGACACACTTTCTTCCGGTTACCGACGCCACAATTTTGCCACTTCCTTTAATTCGTCTGCATGTGTTGTAGCCGGCTCACATTACTACAACTTTTAAACATACACACCCATCTCAAGAGATCCCGGAACCCAGGCAAGAGTTCACAGGACGGAGAACCCGTTACCCGAGTAAGAATTTAAAGTGTTTTATGACAGACATTGACTTATTTGCTTGATGGAATCTACATAAGTGACATGGAAAATTGGTCATCGTTGGGGTTTTTGTTACCGCGTTTTAGCCATCTACGTATTTTTCAAAGCAAACAAATAGAAACGAAAAAGTTAAGTGAAATATACTAGGAATTAGGTCATCAAGCGTAATTCCAATTTTGGTTTGAAATTGTAAACATTTACGAAAGATATGTATGTTTTTCTAAACCGCATAAATTCTTCCTTTCTTTAAATGGCAAAAATATAGCCAAAAGAAAAACAAACTAAGCACTAGCCGTATGTTCGATGCTAATAATATTTCTGCAAGAAGGTAAGTTATGTGCATCGACCTGCATCATACTGAGGCTTTGATGCCTGCAGACTGGCTCCAAAATTACTTCAACGTCATCAATGTCACTGGATATGAAAGATAATCTGACGTTTTTTCGACATAGTCCGCTTTTTATTCCTATAAGCTAAGAATATTCACAAGAATATTTTCAGCCTAAAATCGGCAGAAAAATAATATTCTTATAGACAAAAAAAAGAGTATAGCCTGCTAAAGCATCCGGTTTTGTTTCGGCTCTCAGAAGAAAGGATGTGCCGTTTAATAGGTTAAAATTATAATCATCAGTTTTTTAATTAATTTTTTTGTGTGCATCAACTTGTCAGTTCAGGTTTCATAACCTGTTTCTAACCGCAGGCTATAATTATACGTCAAGTTGTCATGCGAAACAAACAAAAAAGCATTTGTTCTTTGTCTCCTAGGAAACGTTCCTTGGTTATTAGAACCTTAACATTAACGTTCTCAGAAGAAAAACAACTCATTTATCAAGATCGCCAAGGTAAGTTAAAATTCTCGAACAATTCAGTAATAAGCCGAAGCTGGAATAATTAACTATTTTGATTGCTCTATCATCTGTCATAGATGCTAGATAGCCGAAGTCGAAATATGTGTTCCTGTACATGCATGAGTCAGTTTCACTTCAATGATTTTTTTTGCGTTAGTTTTTTTCATTTTCCATCATAAAAACATAGCTTGAATAGACAGGAACCACTGCCAAATGTAAATGTAGAGAACAACGTATGCATATGGAGCAGTGAATTGCGACATTCTTGTAACGATGAATAAAGAAATTTATATCAAGGCCTTAATAACCTCAAAAAATACTAATAAATAACGAATCTACCACCAATCTGAGGGTTTCTACTTGTACGCCACGCAACTGTGTTCAAAATATCTCGCTGTGCGAGCTAGATTCATTTGCAAAATGGCGAAACTTTCGTTACGCACTGCAGTTTGAGCTTTTCCCAGGCAAATTTCGGTACTTTAGCAATTTTTCAGCCAGTTCGAACGGATATTGCCCAACAAAAGCACAAAAATTAAAAACTTAAATTTTGGTCAAAAGTTACTGATTCTGATTACAATATATAGAAGGCTTGTGGAGATATATATTTCAACGTCAAGCGCTAGTATTAGTTGAGTTCTGTTATATGGACGTCGATCATCAGAATTAAGGATTGCATGTTAGAAAAGTGCCTACCCGAAGCATATACTGCATAGTCGAAGATATTAGTTTCTAAGCTACTCTGTAATTTCGAGATAAAATAATATCATGTATTTATTTATCTATTTATTTAATTAATTCAAACCTTTATTCAGTCTATATGATTATTTGGGGTGTGCTAGGTCAAGGTTTCTTTCGTATACTCATAATTAATTAATATAAAAAGTAGCCTGTATCCTTAATTGGATCCTCCCTTGTCATCCGCTAACTTGACTTTGGTCGTGTATCCTTCGCTGGTAACCTCAGTTCAGGTTTCAAACGGAGTTACAGGCTTTCCCTATGTAGGCACCTTTGAAAGAAAATTGCCCGGGAAGCCCACGTCCTAACCACGTTAATCACTTCTTCGATTGCTATGTTGCCAGCATGGCTGTCCTGATGGTGTAGTGGTTATCAAACCTGAATACTATGTGGGGGTACGTTCGTTCAAAACCCACTCAGAGCACAAAATTCTCTTTCAAACCTTTATTTAGTCTATTCATGCCAGCATCATGTAAAATACGGGAACTCTTATACATAGTCTTAATTTTGGTATTTTTTTGGAATTGCAGACCCAGCCATGTTTGGAAGTGCACGTGCGAGCCTAGTGAAGTTTCTGGTCCACGTGTTTCTCTACACATCTCCGTTTCTGGTCACACCTTCTGATGGAAACTGCCCCACAGGCGGATTTTTCTTTGCTGTGGGAAGAAACATGCTTAGTAACCACGCCCTTCTTGGTCACGTGTTTAAAAACGCTACTGTCAGAGAACCAATCAAATGCTTTGAAAAATGCCAGACTGACTGTCGTTGCATCTCATTTAATTACTTGAAAATTGCAAACGAGGACAACTGTCAGCTGAATGAAGAAAACAAAAACACGAAATCCAATGCATTGAGACCAAAGGAAAATTATCAATACTACGATTTAGTTATTGACTACAACATCAAGGTTTGTACATGAGATTTGTTGCTTTGGTAGCAGCTGACGAGAAATAGTTCTAAGAATACCGCTGCGTGACCTCAAACTAACTCTGTCGTGTTGTTAAGGTCGTTCCCCAGTATTGCATTGCGCATCCCTACTGCGCATAATTTCACGCGTGATTAGCGCGCGCGCATTAAAAAATGGCGGCTTTTTTTTTTTACAGCTGGACCTCGCCATAGAGGTAAATCGTCATTTTCTCGCAAACGAGTATGGTGACCTATCATTTTTTTTT